CAACTACCACAGAAAGCAAACCAGTGCAAAAAGTGAGACTTCTATATTTTTCATTTTAGCCATTTCTATAGATACGTAGTGGTATACCATTTTGGTTTCAATTGGCACTTTCTAAAGACACAAACTAATCAAACAGCAACAATACTCTGGTCTCTCTGCAGATCACATAACTTTCTCCTTTAAATAACAACAATAAAAGAGTGGCTATTACAGGGTTTCTTTTTTGCATAATACAAACGTTCTGGAATCTGACAATGGTTCTCATTGCGCTATATTTTAAATATACTGAAACAACTGAATTATGTACTTTAAATAATGAATTTTATGACATGCGAATTTCATTTCAATGAAAAGTAATAGTTATGGAACTGTTTTCATCTTGGGCAACTGGAAGCATCTGTTGGCAAGTACCAATCTGGAAACATAGGGGAAAACAGCAAGTTTCTGTAGAGTGGAGAAGGAAAACAAGAATTGTGGATACATTAAGTTTGAGATGCCCACTAATTAACCACATAAAATGTTTAGTGTACAGTTGAAGACATAAGTCTGAAATCTCAGAAAAATATTCACGTTTTGGTTTGTTTCTTTTGAGACAAGGTCTTGTAGCTCAGGCTAGCCTTGAAGTTGTGGAGATCCTCCTGCCTCAGACTCTTCAATGCTGTGGTTACAAGAGTGCACCACTATGCCTGGCAAGAAAGATTCAGTTTTAAGACAGAAACTTGGACTTTGTTAAAATGTGGGTGGAACTTAAGCTTATGAGATAGAATACATTCATTAATTCATTCATTCAGAAAGAGAGAATGTAAATAGAGAAGAGAAGAGAAGGATTTAACCTGGAAACTCCATAATTAAGTGCAGAGAAACGTATCCCAAATCACTGAGAAGTACAGCCAGGGTTACGGGAAGAGACCCTGATATTTCAAGTCAGGTGAAGAGCACATGTTATCAAGTAGAAGCGACTAGTGCTAGCACATGCTGCTGGTGGGTCAAGTAAAATAAGAGCTGAGAACTGATCATTAATTTTATAAATTGGAGGTCATGACAAGAGCTGTCTCAACGGTGTTAGAAGCAAAAACCCACTGGGAGTTTCCTGGAAGAACGGGATGAGAGGAATGAGAATTAATGGGACAGAGAAGAAGGAAGAGAATGAAGAATGTGAAATTGGGAGGAATTTCTTTTTCCTTTTTCTTTGTAAGTGGGAGAAATATAGGCCGATGAAAAAGAACAGGAGAGAATATTAATGAAGTAGGAGAAAGAGGAGAGAAATGGTTGTAGAGATAGTCTTGAAAACAAACGAAGAAGATAGGATCCAGTGGCCAATGAGGGATTTCCCCCAGATAGGAGCCCATAAAGTTTATCCCTGGGGAAATGTAAGCATGTAAGGCACAGGTAAGTTGGTACATATGGTTGGGAGTGTGTAGTTTTATTGTTATCAACTTTAT